ACCTTTTGGAGATTAAAGCTTTCAAGTTGAAGTTTAGAGTGTCATTAAATTTAATTAATAAAGCAATAAAAAAAAAGACAATTTATGCCACAGAAATCGCACTATAATTTAGACAGAGCGGATTTAATTTCATTGATTGAAACTATAATTAATTCAACGCGCGTTTTTGAATAAAATTTATTTAATGAAAACGAGACCTATAAAAAAGTTGTTACAAATTTAAAGGAAACTCAGGAGGGACATGATGCAAAAATATGATGATCTGAGACAACTTCTTTTTTTATTTGAAAGGCCCATTGGAATTATATCATCTTCCAAATACTTGCCTCGGTTTCTTAAGGTCGGTGGTACGGATACGAGTGGTCCAATTTTCAATTACCTACTCTTACGCATGATCCGGCTGAATTTGAGCCAAGGCCTGGTTTATGTTTACCTTTAGGGCATCGGACTTCGAGAAACCCGCATGACCTTGTTGACCAATTCACATCCCCCAACGAGAGATAACCTTAGCCTCAAATGGTTCATGCTGAATGTCAACTGTGGCGCCCGCTGGTGGCTGTTCTGCTGGAACCATATGTCGTCTAGGTCTATACGGTTCATTTTGGGCCATAAAAAATTGGTTTTCATCGTTCTGTAGCGCTCACCGTTAACGGTGCCAGTCTCACCAACGTCGTTTTCAAAGAAGTACGGACCAATGACGCCGCAGGCCATAAATCAAACGGTAGCTGTTTGAGGATACATTATCACTTGGTGAACCTTGCGTGGGTTGGTGTCGTATCATATACGGCAATTTGGCTTGTTAACATAACCATTCATCCAATAATACCCCTCGTTGCTCGAGATCATTTTTCCTCCAAAATTGGAATCTTTTTTCAAGGCATTCGAAGCCCAGTCAGCGGCATTATCTATGGTCATGAACATGAATGAAGGATGTATCTGGGAGGAAATGCTCAGGTTCTATTCCCTCCTCGCAAGAAGAGATGTGATGCGGGCTGTCTCTCCAAGACCAAAGAGTTAAAAAGTCACTCTCCCGGACAGGGAACAGTGATCGTCCGACGGGTCGGAAAGGGGAAACGGGCGTTGGTGATCGATGGTCAGCTTCTTCCTTAGTCAGCATAGCGCCGTTTTTCAGGCAGAGATCCTAGCCATCATGACATGTGCACAGGAAATATATATCCAGTGACCGTCAGGAACGCCTATTTCACTCTGGGGTAACAAATGTTCCAAAATGCGATTTCCAGTAGTTATTTTTTGAAAATGTTTAGTCACAAAACATACCATATTATTGATATGGAATGGTTACTGCCAAAATATTTCGCCACACTGTGAACCAATAGGTAATACATCTATATCGATCCCCCACCACCAAAGTAAAAGACGAAGGAGTACCCAAAAAGGAATTTTTACTACCTGTACCTCCTGCCTTTCTTTGTATTATGGGACTACAGGCGAGTAGAAATCTACAATGCGAGAGGGGAGTTTCCCGGGTTGAAACAGAGGAAATGTAAATAAATTCAAAAATGCCATCAACTTTAAAAAAAATGAAGCTTCAAGATTGTTTGGTTTGGGTTGCTCCGAGGGTTGCTCGGAAGACCCTAAGGCAAACGACTACTTTTAGACGAAAGTTGCACTATTTCTTACGATGTTTAAGAGATGATATCTGTTGAATGGTAGTAATGAAACTATAAACGTTCCCCATATAATTTAATCTTGATAAGTTAAAAGCGACTATAGTTTCGGGGAATTGCCACCATCAGGCGATGTAAAATTTCAACCCCATGGAAAGATGGATACAGTTAAAAAAATTGATATGTGTTAATTATAATCAAAAAAATACGTGAACAATTATCACCCAACTAAATTAGTCAAGTATTCCCTAAGGAAAACGACTACGCCTAAGAATGTTTCCATTCGAATTGAAAATGAATGTAGCAATTATTTTGATGGCGTTTTAGGGTCAATATGTGTAGATTAAGGCCGGATGTCCACCGAATCGGGGTGACGAAGATCGGTCCAACTGTAGTAGTATCCAGATTGATCGGGCCGACTAAAATTGGCAATTCATGTCCATAGGACGATCGCCTTTCGAACGATTTTTATCGAGTTGGCAGTTGACATTAAATAAAATGTCAAGTGAAGCAGAACACAAATTTAAATGTATGTATCGTATGTCCAAAAGTAGTTTTTTCCTTTGGCTGACATTGCTCGACTATTAATTGCCAAAAGGGACACCAATTACAGAAGATGTGTGACGGTAGAAGAAAGATTACCAGCACTTTTGATTATTATGACACACGAATGCCGACAAATGATCGTTCAAGAACGTCGGGTCGGGCGAATATAGTCGGTTGCGATTTTGATCGGTCCCGACAAAAATCGAGCCTGTGGACAGGTTTCAATAGGAGCGCACGCGCGCAATCTTTATCGGGCGATTCAAATCGCACCAATCTTGGTCGTTCCGATGCGGTGGACATCCGGCTAAGGAAGATCAAACAAACAGGGAAATGTTTTTTACCCAATTAACGGCTCCGTGAAGTAGGCACGCCATTCTAGATTCAATTCTTGAATTTATCATAAAATGTTTGTACGTCGTTTGTATCGTTTGTACTGACTTTAAAAAAATTAGCACCCCCAAGCATTACAGAGTTATGCGAAATTGAAAAAGGCGTGCGTACTTCACACCTAGCACGCCTTTTTGAAATACAAATCAAGAAACCTGTTTCAAAAGTTAGTATTACGTCTGTATCATTTGAACTTATAAACAAAAGATTAACACCCCCAACCCTTATCGAATTATTTGATATTAAAAAAGGCGTGCGTACTTCACACCTAGCACGCCTTTTTGAAATACAAATCAAAAAACCTGTTTCAAAAGTTAGTATTACGTATGTATTATTTGAACTTATAAACAAAACATTAACACCCCCAACCCTTATCGAATTATTTGATATTAAAAAAGGCGTGCGTACTTCACACCTAGCACGCCTTTTAAAAATACAAATCAGAAAATCTGTTTCAAAAGTTAGTATTACGTTTGTATTATTTGAACTTATAAACAAAACATTAACACCCCCAACCCTTATCGAATTATTTTTGATATTAAAAAAGGCGTGCGTACTTCACACCTAGCACGCCTTTTAAAAATACAAATCAGAAAAGCTGTTTCAAAAGTTAGTATTACGTTTGTATTATTTGAACTTATAAACAAAACATTAACACCCCCAACCCTTATCGAATTATTTGATATTAAAAAAGGCGTGCGTACTTCACACCTAGCACGCCTTTTAAAAATACAAGTCAGTAAAGCTGTTTCAAAAATTAGCATTACGTTTGTGTGATTAGAACTTATAAGCAAAACATTAACACCCCCAACCTTTATCAAATTATTTCATATTAAAAATGGCGTGCGTACTTTCCTCCCAGCACGCCTTAGCGTTGAAAGTAACTCTTATTGACTTGTTTAACTTTAAACACGACGTACCTACTTCACACATAGCACTTCATAGGCTATCAGATCACGTTTGTTACTTTTGCACATCATACGAATAAAATATAAGCACTTCTAACCCTTATCGTGCTTTTTAGCGTATTTTCTCTAATGGGAAAAGTAGCTATTGCCGGCGTTTTGTCCGTCCGTCCGTCCCTCTGAATGAAGATGAACTACTTTTTTTGTAGAAGCTTAAGAGCCAATTTTTTTTGGATCGTTTAGATATTATATCCGGTCAGTACACTACGCAATAAAATTTTTGGTACCATCTTTCTAGGGCCTAGAAATGGGCTCTTTTGTGTACTCGCAGAAGCTAACTTTTTTATTTCTTAACATTTTTTAGTGAAATTTTATATATAGGTACTTCTAATGAAAGTATAATGCCGTTAAAAAAAATTTGTTTTGCGCATGCGCAAGCTAACTTTTAATTTATCAACATTTTTAAAGAATTTTTTTATATAGGCATTTCTAATGAAAGTAAATTTAATGCCGTTAAAAAAATTGCTTTTGCGCATGCGCAAGCTAACATTATATTCATTTTATACATAAACACTTTTAATAAAAGTAAATTTAATACCGGCTGGCGTATTAGATGGAAAATGCGCTCTCGTGGGTCACTAGTGACCGCGTTTTTTAATTTTTGATATTTATAATGTACTTGACTGCGAGTACGCCAAAAAGCATGCTAAGAGCGCAACGCTTTTTGACGATATAAATCATAAATACTGTTCCAAAAGTTATTCTTAAGTTTGTACCGGTTTTATTTATAAACAGATTATTACCACAGTCAAAGATTACCACCTCTAACTGTTATCAATTTATTTGATATTGTACCTCACATCTAGCACGCTTTTATGACGATCAAGTTAAGAAAAGGTGTTTTATAAGTTAGTATTACCATTGATTAACGTATAATCAATAGTAATTATTAATTAATTACCAATGATTGTAATTATTAATTAATTACCAATGATTACCGTATAATCAATAGTATTACGTTTGTATCATTTGTGCTATTATACAAAACGTAAGCAGCATTACAAAACTTGTTTCTACTTCACCTTTAGCAATACCAATTAGGACAGCTTTTGTATATGTTATAGTGAAGTAATACTTTTGTATAGGTTGTACCTACTTATATGACATTAGCAGCCTTACTTTTATTACCTTATTTGATAATAAAAAATGAAGTAAATTTATTGAAGAAATTTAATTACATTAATATCCAATTTAAGTAGTATAGCTTAATATAGGTATATATGTAAAATTTAAGCTAAATAAAAGTAACTGTTTCAAAGTTGGAATTTTGTTTTTACATCATTTGTATCTATAAAGAAAATGTGAGTTAATTACTTGATAAAATCGTACGTTTTTTTAAATTTAATTTATATAAAAACTAATAGCAAATTATGTTAAAATAATTTTTAACAAAGAATTTTGGTTGAAGCCAACACATAAATAAGAATTTATTAAATAAAACACAATATGTTAGATCTAAAGAAAATTGCCATAATTTAAAAAAATATATATATTTTAAATATTACATTTTTTACTAACAATGTCATTCTTCTACACTGTATACAGTAAAAGATGCGGTTCAACTTCAATTTCTCCATGCACTTGTACCACTTTAGCTGACAAATCGTCAAATAGTTCCCAAGTAGAATCAATGCGGCGAGCATAACACGTATAATGTCCTACAACATCTTTTTCTTTTCCTAACTCAAAATTACAAGGAGGTTTGAAATTCACTACAGATCGTAAAATAAATGTTTTGCTGAAAATTTGTACATGAAACGGAACGTTACGTAACATTGTTTTTCCACATCCGTTTGTGTCTATAAAGACATTATCAAACACGTTTACAGTGTGTGAAATTTTGCTACCGCATTCACAATTGCTAACTTTCAATACAGCATTTGATATAGCTGCCTCTAATGAAGAAAAATTATTGGTAAGTATATTTATATTTATAGGTAACACCATCATGTTTATTTTAGGTATAACCTGGTTGCAGGTAGGTGATAAACATGTTCGAACATCACAAGCGCTAAGGTAGACTTTACAAAAACGTTGCAGTACGTTGATTGCATTACATTGACATTCAATTTGAATGACATTGTTTAAAAGCTTATTGCTTCTAAATGTATCTTTTGAATTAAATAAAATCTCTGCACGTAGTCTATATGTAGCAGGGCTTGCACCTACCGATACCAACGAATTTATTAAATCAGCAATATCATCTCTTTGATTGTTTACAAACTGCATGTATACAATACTGTCACAAAATGCAGCTGCCAAACCTTGAAGTACTGCATCAAAAGCACATGTATTTACAACATAATATTTTTGTTTCTTGGTAACATAAACTTTTTTCATTTTTAATCCATTTTGTAATAAGCTTAGTTCAATTTTTTTTCCTTCGATTATGTGCAGAATTTCTGTACAAGGGCGACCATACTTCCTTTTCTTCAATTTTTTCAGACGTGTTTTTGGTTCTTCTGCTTTGTTTTTCCAGTTCTCTTGAACAGCAGTTCGTGTTTCTAAACCGACAAACAAAACAAATAGATGATTACTATTGTTACTTATATTTATAAGACCAGTATTAAACTATAAAACACTTTTGACAAAAGTCTTTTATAGAAACTGACAGATGTTTTATTAAATAATGTAATCGTTTGTTAAGACTTTCTATAAAATTTATTATCAATACTAATATTTTATAAACGAAGCAATACTACGTTATAAAACATCTTATAAAATTTATTTTATGTAAGCTTATGTGTAACAAATTTTAAAATTGTTAGTTGTAGATTTTTTTTATAATAAATTTTACTTAATACATACCTAGTTCAACAGAATTTGAAATGTCCTCTGGCGAGTTTGATGAAATATTTATGGGCGTGACTTCCAATATAACTGTGCTGGATTCATTATTCTCTTCATTACAATTACAATCTAAAATTTACCAATAGAAGCGATTAATATACCTACTTTCAATACTCACCTATGTTTGTTATTGTTACACTTTTTTCTTTAAATTCTTCAGCTTGTTGCAAATTTGACGTTTTTTGATTTATTGAGGGCGTAGCTGTAACAATTTTTTAAAGTAATTTTTTAAAAAATGTTAATCTTACCATTTTGTTTTAAAAATCCGCTTCGTTGTCGTGTTTCGTTCTTAATTTTGACGTTGTCAATGTGCTTGTCAACTTTTTCTTTTCTTGCTTCTATTGTCGCTAATTTTACTGTACCTTTTATAGCTTCGTAATGTATGAGGAAAAATTTATCTATTTTTATTGGTAGGTTGTAGTTTTTAAATGTTCTGTGTTTTAAATCATTAAAATAGCATTCAACTATTGCAGACGATGCGGTAGTTCTTGACGTTAGAAAATGTTTGTTCATTACGTTTGACCATAATGTAATAGTTTTTGCTAATCTTTCTAAATCTTTTGTAAAATCTGGACAATAATGAAAATTTTCGTTATTTGTTACAAATTGGCATTGCTGTAATGCACGGTCTTTAATAATTCTAAACCAATTGTTGAGATTATCATTTTCTATTGATTCCATTCCTGTCAAATTAATCTGTTGTTGTTCATTAGTATTTTCCACATATTCATTATCAATGATCACTGTGTCTAGTCCCGATATTTTTAGTTTCAAGTTTTGTTTGTGTAACTCGCAAGGAGTTTGAACACCATTGCAATCACCGGAATATTCACTATTTGATATTATGATCAAACTTTCGATCAAAGACGCCACACTTTCTAGAGTTGTAGTTTTTATTAGTAACACCATCGCTCGAACATAAAATTCATGTAACAATTTTGGTTTTCGAATACTTTGCCATTTACATATAATATTCATTATATGAGCGTAGTCAATTCTTATATAAGTTGTTACATTGCTTGTATCACCTTTTCCATTTAACAAATCAAAACATTTTGAAATATAAGATTGTAATGTCGTATTTGTGAACGCCCATGACACGGCATTTAACAGAGCTAAGGAATGATCGCAAACAATTGTCTGTGGTATAGATGCACCGGATTTAATCCAACTATTAAGCCAAAATGCAATGCTATTAGAATCGTGACTTTCCGACAACATTTGACATACCGGTATTTGTCCATGTTTTTCACCAGTGTTAATCACAACTGCGTATAAAAAGATATGTCCAGAAGAAATGTCATTTGGTCTCCTTAACTTCTTAACCAGGGTTCCAGTCGCGTCAATTGCTATATATGAACTTTTTTTCTCAATTTTCACATAGGAATTATATACAGATAATTGTTCAGGCGACCAATAATGTATGAAAAACTTGTCTAATCCAATCATATGTACACTGGCTAGGTAGGGTTGCGTATATTTCAATACATGTAGGTTGTAAACGGGATCTTCATTTTTTGCTATTTTGTACTTTTTATCTGTATATTCTTGTTTGCACTTTCTTAAAACGTCTGTAGAATACAAAACACTTTCTTGATTATCTGTTGTTTTAGCCGCTTCTTCTCTTTTCCAATTGATTGCTAGCTTCCCGTCGCTCAAAATTTTACCGATTTCGTTGCGCAAAAATCCCGTTAACTTTCTTTTTTTAACTCCTTTGTGTAATGTAAGATCTAAGTTTGTGACTTTTAAAGTTAAATACAGTTTTCCTTCTATAGGACCGCCAACATTATACCCAAACAAAGAAGCATAACACTCAGTACATTCACCACGGATATTTAAATAATTTTGACCACTTTCGAAAATATGATGATTTAAAAATTTCCACACACAATTACTTTGCACAGTGTTGCTAATCTCAGCATTCAGTAAAGTAGTCCACCCTTTTTTTAACACCATTCTGTTTTTTCTGTCAGCGTAGCACTTCACTTCAGGTTTAATTGCATTCCAAATATTGCTGTCTAATGTAATAGTATGATATGAGGTATTGATTAAGTCTTCGTCTTCATTTTCACCGTCATTGTCTTTATCAGGTAATTTTATATTTAATAGATCACAACAATTATACCTATTCAATTTTACAATCGTATATAAACCTTGAGCAGATAGCTTGCCATGAATGGGAGCCTCATTAACAGCATCAGCCCAAATTTTGGCTGAAGGCCTTGATAAATTTGTCTCAATTTCATTTTTGTGCTTTGTAATCACTTCTAAAATTTGTTCTGGTGGTATACGTGGTTGACGCGGCATGATGGTTAATGATTTAACACAACACACGAATAATTTCACTAATTGGTATAACCTAAGGTTAACCACCGCATACGAATGCAAATGCCACACTTTCAATGATGCTAAAGTATTAACACTGTACAAGAAATTTTGAATACGTAACACCATCATTTAAAACATTTGACCTGCACTTTTAAAAACGCTGCAGTGCAGTTTATTTAAATAAAAAGTTCTTTGTTGTAGTAGGTATAAAGTTTCAAATATTTTATCGCTATAGTCTCAAAACATTCATTCCCATTGACATTAATAGGAACTGATATATGGCTGGGACGGCGGTATTATATAAAAAAGCGCAAGAGTAAAGCAATAAAAATGAATACAAATAATTAAAAGAATAAGGCGATTAGGTGATTTTGAACAATAATTATGCATTTTTACAAATAATTATGCAGAATGATGTACACGGTGAATTGCGGAAGACTGCAATCGGTGATAATTTATTTTCGCGAGACTGTTATGTGTGAAGGCATATACACTTACTTCTTAGGGTTTGATTCCGAATAATTTTTTAATTACAGGTGTAAAGTCGCTTTTTGGACAGATTTTCTGTCTA